TAAGTTATTTATTAGTAATTGTAATTACAAATTTAAGAACAAACCTGAAGTTTTTCATGAAGTTGCAAATATATAAACTCATTTGCTATGATAGACAAAATCTGTGTTTTTCCATTTCAGCCATATTTGTTAGATATCAAAGCATTTTGAAAACTATTCCAGAAAGTATTTTTATTTTCATTTTCATTAATAATTATATGACTTTTTTGTGAAAACTCTGAATTGTCTAAATCAGTTTGTAAATATCCAAGTTTATATAGCATCTTTAAATTAGCTTTATCAATTGTTAGATTACTTGATTAACTCCAAAATTCTTTTCTATCATTAGTTTTAAGATATGGCATCACATTAGTGCAACCACAAGCTTGTAATATTGCTTTCCAAGTACGAAGTTCTGTCTTACTTAATTGGTAGATAGGTGGGTATATTATACTAAGTGTATTATGAAATTTAATTATCAAATTATCTTGACACATCCAGATAATAATCAAATTTTGCCAATTATTTAAAAAGCTAATTGCAATTTTTCTTTTTTTTATTTGTTGATTGAATATTATTTCCATTATATAAGACTCATCCTATTTCTGTGAAGTACAAGTTAGATTAGGATTTGGTAAATTTTCTTGAATTGCATATTGTGCACGTTGAACCAAGGGGTGGTTAAAACTATAAAGTGTTACATCATCCAAATGCATTGTGATGCTTACTTAAGACTATACACCATTAGCAGATTTATCCTTGTAATGCTACAATACTTGATCCTCTTTATAAAAATCAAGTGTAAATATATTATTAGTCATTTGTTGTAATACTAAAGTTCTCAAACTTTTTTTTTTAATATTGATGAAGTAAAACTTTTATTTCTAATTTCTGATACTACTACGATAAAACTTTCAATATTTAAAAAAAGAGACCTAAATCTTATTCTATTTAATAATTTTTCTACTATTTGTTTGTTATTAAACTCAAGAAGTGCAGACTCAGAATATGCAGTTTTTTTTCAAAAATCACGTGATATATTGCGTTAATAGCCTGAGAAGGTGTCAAACAAACTTTACTAATTTCATTATTACTAATACAAACAAATCCAGGTTGCAACACATTTTCTTCGCTTTTAACTACTCTAATAAAAAACTGGTATTGATTAAGTGTAAATCCAATATGTATATTAAGTTTATATGGAACAGAAACTAAAGTATTATCTTCGTCATTAGTTGGGCGAGGTGATCACCAATCACAGGTATATAGGCCGTAGTGCAGTTCCAAATATATTATGTTTATATTAAGCAAAAAAACAATATAACGAGACAAGTTGTTCATAATTTTATTGTTATAAGAGTTAGCTTTGATATTTATAGCTATAAATTTTTATATAATTAAATATACATTGTGATTTCTTATTTAATATCGATCATTTTATCTCATTGGTTAACGAATTTGCAATTAAGAACTTATATACTAATTAGACAAGACGAGACTGGGAGAACACATGAAGTTGATATATTTGTTATACTTTGGAATGAAATATGGATTTAAAGTTGGGGCAATAAAGAGAATTTGAGATATGTAATTTAACGACAAAGTTATATGCATATAATTTTTAGCTCTTAGCACAGATTAAAGTGCATCTAGCTTAATTTTCTTTTTATATATTAGCTGAGTTCTATGTAATTACTATGATCAAATAGACAAGTATTCTGATTAGCAGATATTAATCTGTTAAATAGGTTTTTTAGTTTTATAATTAGTATTTTAAATTCTTTTTATTAGTTTAGTCATTTTCTTATCTGTTTTCTTTTAAAACTATCTCTCTTCTCGTAATTCCCTTACTCTATTTGATCTTTGGTTTTTTTGTTAGAGAATTTTTCTTCAAATTGGTAATATGTTATATAGGGCAGTGATCTTAACAAGATTAGTAAGCACCTACTGCAGACTCTTGGAGTATAAATTCTCAGTAAATTGAGAATCCCAAACAAGATAAAGAAGTAACACTTAGGCAGGTCATACTTGGGTCTTCCTTGTAGAACTTATTTTAGATTCTTGTTAATAAATCGAGTGATTCTTTATTAGTACAGACATAATATAGTATATTAGATAGATTAGTTTCTATAGAAGTATAGCTATAGCCAATTTAAATAATAAAAGAAGAATCACTAAACCAAAAAAATAAATAAATTATATATATTCTAAAATTTTTATATAAATTGAATAAATTTTTATTAATTTATTTTTATTTTTTTTTTCTTAAAATTAAAGTAACCTCTCAGTCGCATTCTTTTTATTCAATTACTAGATTATAGTTATAATTTTTACAGTATAATTTTTATACCATATTTATATTTGAAAAATACAACTAGCCACATGTATAACTTTTGGTTGTCTATTTAAATAGTCTGTTTATTACTAAGTTCTATATTAGATATTATACCTATAACCT